AGGAGGCGACAGGGCTATGGCACGACAACTGATGCCGTGTGCGCCGCTAGGCATCGTACAGTCTGCGCCAAACACGCGCGACGACTTTCCCACTGGAGGGACTGGCGTCCTTGTGGGCAGATTGTTTTTCTGATAAGATCCCGACCGCCCTGGCAGTGAAAGGGGTGTTATTGCCGAAATAAATCGGGGAGCATTTTCGTTGAACCGTACGCTGCGGGATCCGGTTCGAAGTTGCTCGAGCAGAACTGTCATCGCCTGCGTCGGGTGCTCTGCGGGGTTCCAGTGGTGTCAATAAAACGCCCACGCTTCAACGTTTAATTATGTAACCGAGAAGCAGACACATCACCATAGTCTGAGACTTGTGCCCACCTCCCAAAAGCTTGGAGCTCAATGTCCACATTTCGCGCAATATTCCACTGGGCCAACGTCTACATGCAAATTTATTAAGTTGATACTCACTCGCTGTTGAAGCATACAAAATTCATCAATTTATCGCAGGCGCTGCGCTGGGGACTCTGGTCCAGCACAGTTAGTACTGCACGCTACTGATACCGTGTATTAGAATGCTACTGCACTGGCGCAACAGACTAGTAGCTTGTCAGGAAGTGCTTTCATACGTCATTCGTTTGCGTCCAAGAGAACGAGTCTTAAGGGATCCACAGCCAAGTACGCCTTGTTTTCTATTGAAGCTTGCGCGCAGATTATCAGACTCCGTCGCTGTGCAACGTTAGTAGGGGCACAAGCGAACCCGCCCCCCTAAACGTTTTCACTAATCCAACTGGCCGGGAAGAAAGCTAAATCTCTAACTACCACTAAGGTCTCCCAGAGCGGTCGGAAATAGTCATCCGTCCCATTCAGCAAAGCTGTACGTTTGTGCATATTCTGAATAGTGGTGCCTTCATTATACCAAGGAAAAAACACTTCAAATTGTCCCTCCAGTAGAGCAAAAAATCGCCCCAATAATACAAAATGATTTTTCCTGGTTTATGCAGCCTAAATATTGGCCGTACCGCCTAGTGCACGTCACTCCAGGGCCACTGACATGCATATCGTCCATCCTCTCTTCTATAATAAGGACGTCCAAAACCAAGCAGCAGCTTGAATGACCAGTATCATCGAGCAACACACTGTACCAAAAAGAGAACATAGGTTGAAGTCGCGTTCTTCGGCACAGTGCTAGCAGACCACAATTGTCTTCCCAGCAGCACCCAAATTTCCAGTTCGCGCAAAGAACCTGTTTCAAAGCATACAGTTTGCATGAAGCGTACCATACGGTGGCGTACCGCCAACATTCAGTGCCAGATTGGGGGCGGCATACATCTGCAGCGCCTTTAGACGCATGACTCTCCCACTCATGAAGATACTTCACATAATGCTGACCAGACACACTGCGTTGCTATACGCTTGCTGTCCAGAAAAAAAAACGCATTTTCCTCACAAAACAACGCTTTTACGAGCCCAACTTGATCGCTCGACCAACGCATTTCAGGACTCTAATCGCCAGTCGACGCATAAGCAATCGTTCCTACTGGCCTGGCAGTTCATTTCATCTGAGCAGGTAAGCTATTCAGCCCGGAGCCGCCTAGCAACACTACCAAGACATGCAGTAAATTTACCTCCCATATATCGATTTTCGTTCTCTGGTATTTTCCCGCGCTGTCCATGCATCCCGTCGCTCCTCGGATTGTTAGTCTCTGCTTCCAGCGGCGCGAAGAGGAAACTGTTCCTCTTCCCTCCGCTAAAAGCATAGAATAACAATCCGAGGAGCCCCTGCGCATCAGGCATCACATGCCTTCGCAACGCGCAGGCCGCTCACTCACAAGGTAGAGATCAAACGTATCACACACGCACACATACGCAGGCACCCTCGTTTTCCTAAAGCATTACTACATCACAGTTTACGTCGGCGACGCCTGTCCAATTCGTTGAAAGTGGACCGTCAGCTTATTTGTACACTGTCGGGAAATTCACAATGTGTACCTCCTGCGTGAAAGACCATTCTTTACTCTTCTTGAGCAGATCGCACCGCACTCTCCCCTTAACAGCAAGTCAACCGTCGCCTAGCCCTTTTACGCTTATCACGTATATCGGCTCGCCTTCCCCACGCATCAAGCGTGCTATCAACGTAACGCTCGCTTAAGTGCAGGAAACCTTCCCGTCTCCTAAATGTATCTGCCAGAAAGGCGGCCTTACCTCCTGATTAGCGTACCCAAGGGAAACGCAAGCCGCAAGCCGCTTGGCGCCATTCGTCAAACGCGGTTCCACCCAAAGAGCAGTCTCCACAGGTGCAAGGTGCGCACAGCCATTTCCTGCTGTTTCCAATTATCAACCTCAGAGAAAGCAAACACACTTGCTGAATCCGGAAGAAAGTCCCGCTGGCGCAGTCACTTCCGCTCCACCCCATAACATCCAATACCCAACCCAAATCAACGCACACCCTCTACAGACTATTTACGAGTTCATACTACAGGGGCGTTGTCTTGAGAGCCAACGTCTTGCCGATGCAAATTTTCATACACACGTCGGCAATTGATGCAGCGCCTCACACAAGTCGAAAGCCGACGAGAAGTCAACATAGCCGGCAACACAATTTCCAACAATTCCCATCGACTGAACCCGAACACACGCGCACGCGCAACGCGACAAACAAACATGAGAACTGCATGATGCAAACCAAACAAGAAGTTGCGCTAAGGCTAGTGTTCCTTGCACGTGGCCTCCGCCCCGCCTCCACTCCAGCTCCCATGCGCCATCAACCGGACCCGCAACCAATGTAATTCCATGCAGTGGTGACCACCGCTCACAAACGTTCTACTGTAAAGAGTGAAACGCATGCCAAAACTGCGCGGTGACGTGCGGTGACACTGCGACGAAAACCCGACACATCGGCAGCGCTTGCGCTCTTGACAACAGAAAAACCCTAGACGGCACCAGTCTACACAAGCTCATTCCACACTAAGGCCGCATCAGATGATTCATTATTCCCAGCTCTCAAATCTGTCCACAAACATTCTTACCCTTGCTCCTTACTCCATGCCACCATCACAGCTGTTTTAACCACCAAAAAGCCCCCACTCCACTGGCACCGGGCGCCCGCGCGGCGCCCGGTGCCAGTGGGAGGGATAATCCCACTCTGCCCATGAAGATCGCCGTTCCCATCGCTGCCTGCAGACTCCCAGCACGGCAAAGACACGCTCCATCAAATGTCAAAAAACCCTGCGCATCTAGCATCACCTGCCGCCGCACCGTATTGAACTCGAACCCGCAATGTCGAGTACAGCGGTGCTTACTGCAAGCGCATTCATGGCTCCTCATGCTCTTCAGGCAGTCAATCACCGCTGGGCGCTGCGACATTTCTTCCAATTCGTCAAAACTTTAGACCAGCAGCGTCGTTTCGATCCTGACAGGTGTTTTCAATGCGTGCTTCCTGTGTGAAACGCCATTCTCCACCCCTCATGACCATGCAGCTCTCCACGTCCCCTTCAACCGCCTGTCAACGGCCAACTAGCTCTACTGTGCGTACCACGTATATCACCGCTTCCACATCAAATATGAACAGCCGTTACGAATGGAACGCTAGCACGAGCGCCAGTATTCTGCCCTTCTCATATCTGCATCCGCCGGAATGGCATACGTGGTTCCTGGGCGCCGTAGGCACGGGAAACGCAAGCCGCAAGTAATTCGCTGTCATGCTCCAAGCGCCGTATCACCCCATCGGGCACTCATCTGTAACTTCGACGCCACATATGCAAGGCGCACACAAAACACAGCACCGTGCTGCTCCTAACAATCCACCCATCACACTGCTGCCGCAATGCGAACAGTACTCCTGCGCCTGCGCAAACAGAGAACGCACGCTCACTGAATTAGCATGCGTGTATCGCGAGCAAAACCGCTCAATTTGATCTTTAGAAATCAACTATCTGGCAGTTGCAGACGTTGATACATGCCGCCCCGCCTAGTGCAACGTTTCACATATCCCAAAGACCCACCGCAGGTGTAGCAAATCTCCACCACCATTCCCAACAACAACTGCTGAAGACTACACGCGCAATGCGACAA